ACGGAACATGTTCTTAATCTAAAGAGTCCAACAAGCCGACAATACGAACACTAATAAGGTCAATCAATACCTACGTAATTTTAATGTTCTCTTTTATACGAAACACAAAGAAAACCACGATGACAATGAATATTAGGAACAATAATATAAGAGTGCATAGTTACGACAGTTGATTATACGGGCATAGAACTCAAAAGATCTTTTGGAAGATCCTTATCTCTCTCCTAGATTACAAATAAAAACCGAACGGTTTTTTCAATGGCGTCGTTATTTTAATTAATACTCCATTCTTTAAAGTTACTTCTTTAGTAAACTCATATACGATCTTGATCCTTTATTCCATAATGATTTTAATAATTTTGTCGTGAAACTAGTTTTAAAATTTTTTAATTTATCTTCTTTGTGGTTTTATGACACGGCTAAATTTGTTGCACCTTAAAAAAAATTTGTTTAAGCAATACATATATCTATTAAAGACATTTTCCGTAGATGTGTTTATGACAGCACGAGAAATGAATCATATCGCTCTAAGCGTTCGTGCAAAATATGTCAAGTCCGTCTCTTAGAATAAAAAAATTATTTTTTATTGTATCACGAAAGATAAAATTAAATAAAACTGTTCAAATAAAAATCATTACTTTCGTTAAAAGGAAAGGTATATTTACATCACTTTATCTTACGTGTTATATTTTTATAGTAGTATTACAGTGCTACTATGATATTCAAGAGGATTTAACCAATTTTTTATCTGAGTTTTATTTAATTTTATTTTTCTTGATATAATAAAAAGCAATTTTTTTTATTCTGAAAAGCTGACTTAATATTTTGCACGACCATTTTGAGTAATGTGGTTCATTTCTTGTGCTGCAACAAGTATATCTACGGGAAGTGTCCTTAATAACCATATACATTGCTATATGTATTGCCTGAACGTATCTTTTTTCAGTTGCAACAAATACTTGTTTTGTTATTTTTATCTTACATTTGACTTATAATAATTTGAAATAATGCAGCAAAAATATAAATAAATCATTATTTTTTTATTTATGAAACAAAGAGTCTATATCAATTTATCTCGATTTACAGCATCTATTACTATTATTATTAACGATACTTTCAATCATCATCTTAATTGACCAACTCGTTAATGAAGCTTTCTTCAATCGTTATCTCAACTCTGATATAGACATAGGAAGAGTGCTCCGCGTGTGCTTTAACTGGCTCGTGCCAGCTCTAAATCAATACATAAAGAGACCACCTCGTATCAGACATTCAATCCATTCGTCAACAAAGTTCCAATATTGGAACGTCCTACATAGGCCGACGTCGCTCCTTTCGAGCTTTCGAGCGAGCATATCCGACACTCTCGGCGGAGAGCGCGTCAAGGAACTCTCGATAGAAGTATCTAACGCGACGATACTCAACGATGTCTCGTGCTTAACGTGCGTTTTTGCACGCCACAAAATCTCAGATAACCACCTGACAAGCACGAATATACTAAGAAAAATCCCTCAATTATCAAAACGAAAGCACGTTTGCTGTTTGATGATCGTCGGGAAAACAGATTGAACAGTTATCGTTGCAAATAATTTCTTATCATTTGTCGTTTTAACAAACATACGTTACCTGAGATATATTTGTTCTCGTCTATTTAGATTTAGATTAAGTTACATCTCGATTACAGAAGTGTTGCTTAGAACAATAAATTGAAAGTAACAAACCATTTGTTCCCACTATAAGATCATTTACTATTCCATGTCAATGATCGATTTGTTACTGTTCCTTTGTTAAATTAGCACTTTTACTTTCAGTGTATATCAGCCAAATAGAATTTCATGATTATCACGACATGAAACAATCGGTAATGAAAACTTCACAATTTTTTTTTTAATTATATTAATATGAGGCACACGTACTGTGTGTATTGTTTTGAATCAATCATTAAATTTACATGATATAATAATGGTATGGTATAAACATGATATAATAATTCTTTTTGTTATAAGGATGTAACAATACGTTTACTAAAAGTTTAGTAAAAGTACTCAGCTTTCACGTTATATTTTACATGATATGTTATCTGGAATTAATGTTGAATAAATTTAAATCTTGAGTAAATTCATTATATTCCGCAGCAAAATATTGATAGTATCTATTCCTGCATTATTAGAAACACGGTAAAATTAAAAAGAATTTACACGAAATTTTTTTTATAATATTCCCTTTATGCATTTATCATAATAAATATGAATGTCATATAAATAGTACTCATAAAGGATACAATCTTTACAAGTTAACCAGTAAATTCGCTACCAAAGAGCCGAGAGAGAGGGGGAGAGAGAGAGAATTTCGTCCTTTTCCACAGGATTTTATACAACTTTGAATATTCTGATAAATGATACAAATGATACAATTTTTAATAATATAAATAAGTGATTTTAAACTTAACACGAATAGATATTATATATGAGAATATAAAAAATCTCGATATTATTCTCGTATTATTTTCTAATAATATGCAAATGCGTTAAATTTTGTCCAAAATTGGCCAATTCAATTATTGGTTTACGTGGCCGTTTTGACAGTAATGATATGTACCGCTGAATATGTCTAAACAAGTGTTTTCCAACACATGAAATCCTTAAAATATGTTAACAGGATAAAAAATTATGTATTCATAAGCGATCACTTTCATTATTGACCAAATTTTTCGCCAATGTTTTTATTTCGCGCAGTAGCATTATATATCGTTTAACTTGTCTTGAATATTTGAGTACTTGTCAAAAATATATATCTTTGAAAAATAGCCGTGACATTTCGCGAGTATCTCTTGTGAGTAACGATTAGTCGCAAAGCGGCCCAAGGCGCTACCAACCTCGAGTAGAACTATCTCGATTTGTACGCACCACGGTTTCCGTTCTCGAATAAGAAGCATACGTCACAAAGCGCGCGGGTGCGCGCAAGCTGACGGCTATGCTTTTTCATCAAACGGGCCTTGATTTATCGATGATTTTACATCCGACTGGAAAGCGATCTCGCGTTTCGTGGAATCCGCGCGCACGTGGCGCGCGTCTCCGTTGGCAAGAGAATCGTTAAAATGTATCGTCAGCTTTATTGGCCACGGCTCTCACGATGCGTTTATACATACCGAAGCGGCCGCTTTTCCGCGATATCCGTGCGTCCACGACCGATTCGGCTCGCCCCGAAAAGCCCCATTGACGTAATGACCGCGGCGGGAACTTTCCACAGGAAGCGCGGGTGACATAAACGTTATACATTATTATACGGGAACGAACGAGAGAATCGTTAGATCTCTCCATCGCGGGCTAGCCGGCCGTGTGCGTGGTGCCCACCTACGATAGAGAACAGGCGATAGAGAACCGTAGTATCGTTCCGGCTTCCATTAACCTTTTCAGCCGTGCGCGAACGCACACGGTGTGGCGGGCATACATATTAATACGATATTATGTAATAAGCCTCCTCCAGTACGGCCACTCCAACTTATTCTCGCCTAGAGTGTGTGTTCCAGCTGTCACACTCGATCAGTAATCGTCGGATTGAGACACGTGTGTATCCCGTTCTCGTTGTACATCGAGATTAAATTTAATTCAGAGGAAAGGAATGGTCACTAAAATTACGGTTATTTTCGACCTCGGCTATATCTTCTTGTTGTTCCAGTCAAAAAATGACAGTACCAGTAAATGCATGTAAAGTTGTCGTCAAGTATAAGTAAAAATAGTCCCGCGGGAGTTCAGCACTGGATCGAAGTGCGCGACAATTATGAATAATTCAATAAACCACAAAATTGTTTAATAATTATCTTTCGTATCATATACTGATAAGAGAATATTTACAAATTTATATTACAAAGTTTATCTGCAGAAATCAATTTTATTTCATATAAAACAAAATTTTCAGATGAATTTTTATGAATTTTTTTCAGATGAAGAGAGCGGCCAAGCTCTCACAAGATTTTAGTCCTATTTTGTGACATTCAAAATCTTAAATTATTTTTTGATAAAACTATAGTTGCTGAGTGGATTAAAGATATAAAATATATAAGATACGTTTCATCATTTGGAAGAAAATGGTCTAAAAAGAATTCCAAAATAATATGACAATTCTGGCAATCCATATAAATATTTTTTTAGTAAAGTTTTTTATAGCTTTTCTTATCCATGTAACAAATTTTTATATTTATAATGTTGATAATAATGTTGATCGTAATGTTGATAAGTCAGTCTCAATGGCTCTGTAGACCCACTAAGACTGATTTTTACTAAGTTTTGCTTAATATAATTGCCGATTAATTTCGTTGTAATCAACAAATAGCTGCTAGTGTTCAACGGAATTAATCAATTCTGTTAGTGTTACAACGAAATTAATTGACAATTAAGTTAATTAAGAACTTGGTAAAAGTCATCCTAATTTAATAAATATTATTTATAATCCGTATTATTTTATATATTCCAATTTTATCTCACAGATATAACCTTTATACTCTACAGATAAATTTTCAAATATTTCTTTTTCCAGTGTAAGTTCTAACGTACATTTTGATCCTCTTTGGGGTCATCTTCAGTGTTTATATAAGAAGCAATCGAAGGATACTAACTTACATAATGAGTGAAAAGAATATATTGACAATATATATTTTTCTATTTTAAATAAACCGAAAGTTTTAACAATCTCTCGCATGTAATGTTATTATAACATGAAATATATCAGCATATCTTTCATTGAAAAAAATTACTGCAAAATATATTTAACGCTCTGTTGTATGCTTCTCTTGCTTGATTTATGCTTGACTTGCTAACTATTTATACACGAGAGCTCTTCTAAATTTTAAAATTTTGACTTTCATCGACTTTGACTTTGTAACGATTATTTATCTTGAGTTTGTTTGCGACGTATTCAGATAAGTTTTTATGAAGATTTTTTTTAGTTTTCTCTTAAGAGAATATTAGTTTTTTCTCGAGTTTCACGTTTCTTTAAAACTCCGCGTAACAGATGCCACGGCCACAGATACTACTGGGGATTATTCGTTTGCGGACATTACTTTTCGATCAACATCATACGTTTTGGATTACATGGAGTTCCAAGAACGCATTTCTGCCTGGAATTCGCCGTAAGTATTGTTTATTGTATTGTATCTTGGTGGCGTTTTTAATATTTTCTGTGTAACGTGGGACTTAAGTACATTGAATTTGTTCAGTGCTCTTTATTGTATGTGTAAACAATGAAAATGATCCCAAGAAGGATCATCGAAATGTACATCAAATTTTACGATGTTAGATAATTTTAAATTATTTATTAAACCATTAATAATTTTTATGCACTTCACTTCAATCTAGCATTCAGTTCTCATAAGTTCATTTTTTCTTATACTTGATTATTAATCATAAAGACTAATAATAATTGAAAAGTTATTGTCACTAATATTATACATATAGAAAAATATCTACTGCTACAAGAAAAGCGCTTACTCAGCTTATCTTCTTTTTTTGAAGCAATAGTTATATGCAACAAAGAATATTTTCTTGATGTTAGTCTCTCAAAATATATTCATTATAAATTTTAGAGAAGCTCCTTATCATGTATAGAGAAGAATTTATTCCTTTTATAAAAATATCGTAAAACTTTGTGGAAGAAAAAATTAGTTTGACTCGAAGCAAATCAAATTTTTATTTCAATTAAAATAAAGATAAATAATCGTTAAAAAGTCAAAGTCGATGAAAGTCAAAATTTTAAAATTTAGAAGAGCTCTCGTGTATATATAGTTAGCAAGTTAAGCATAAATCAAGCAAGAGAAGCATACAACAGAGCAACATTGCGTTAAATATATTTCGCAGTAATTTTTTTCAATGAAAGATATGCTGGTATATTTCATGTTATAATAACATTACATGCGAGAGATTGTTAGAACTTTCAGTTTATTTAAAGTAGGAAAATATATATTGTCAATATATTCTTTTTACTCATTGTGTAAGTTATTATAGTATCCTTCGATTACTTCTTATATAAACACTGAAGATGACCCCAAAGAGGATCAAAATGTATGTTAGAACTTACACTGGAAAAAGAAATATTTGAAAATTTATCTGTAGAGTATGAAAGTTTCAATTTAATATTCTTGATTGAAACAAAATTTGCTAGATGCGAGATTACAGTTGCAAATGCCAGTTACAAACACTTCTTTCAATGTACACACATTTCCTGCTACAAACCAACGCTTACTAAGATTCGACGTCGCGTATATCTCTGGCGTCGTATGGTCCATCGAATTCTCTGATTTTCCACCAAATTTCAAATTCCCGATTAATAAATCGCCCGAATCTATTAATCAATATACAAATAATCGTATCAAAGTTTGATTAATAACTAATTTTATCAATCGATAAAATTATGTTATTTTATAAATTACGGTTTTAATTAATTTTGATTATTTATCTGTCAATTATTCTAGCCAGAGGAAGTTTCAATCGATTAATGCCCAACATTGGGTGCCTCGGGTGACACGCGAAACGCTTCCAAAGATGCTTGTTAGCTAACAAAAGCACGTCAATTAATCAATCTTTATTTTTATTTCTTTTTCCTTTCCTTTTTGCACAGAAGGTAGTCGCAAGCGAAAAAGAATATTGATACGTTTCGCACACACACACAAATTTACTGTCTTGACACCTTCGACAGAGAAGTGCAGTCGAGATCAATCGCGACCACGACGTAAGGAGCGCTCTTGCACGCGCATCACCTGAGGACGACGTCGTTAAAACATCGTTGTAGCTTACCTTTTTTGCAGTTTCGGCCGAATCCACCGGCCATCATCTCGATTTTTATGACGTCGAATTAATGCGGCGGCCGAGATGAAGCCTCGTAAAACTCCGACGTGCTTACCGTTAAACCGCCTCAGCTCGATACGCAATCTCATATTAAATCCAAAAACGAAATGTGCGCGTGATCGCGCATTAAGCGTCTCCCGAACGCCAGAGTGCTCTCGCAGTAGGCAATTACAATGAACAACGCGAAAACTCTAATTCGATGCTGCCATCGTGGTGTTTAAGAAAAAGAAAAACGGAATTGAATTTTAGACGGAAAGGTAATAAATTTAGACGGAAATCGTATTTGACGTGTCCAACTTACGTAATTAACGCTAACCAGTTAAAAGGCCACGAAAAAGAAACAACTAATAAAATGTCCATCGCAGCTGTTTGTGAGATAATAACGTTCATTTGTTATTCTCTTTTAATTTGAAAAAGTGTACATAACGTGCTGAAGCTGTGTTGTTCCATATCTGCGTAGCTGCAAAACAACCGAGACTGTGGATGTCGCGCAGACTTTTTTTGCGTTGCTTTGCACAGATACAATCTCAGGCAATTTCGCAGACAGAGTTTCCGCCGGATAAACAGACCCGTTTCGCGTCCTCAGAGGAATTAATAATTTTTAAAAAGCATCAAAGCAGAAGAAAATATTGCTCGACATTCCCCGCGTAATCAGATAATCTGCAAGCTGCCTTGCGCGGGAATTACGATGTTTTTCGCGCGAGACAAGTCTCAAAGTAATTAACAGACAGAATTAATGAACGTCGTAATGAACATTATTCACGTGTAACATACATGAATATACACTATTCACGTGTAACACAATTTCAGCTTGGCTAACGTAAAAATGGCCGACTACAAGAAACCAATTTCCGAAATGTTGCAAATCGAATGAAATAGTATGAACCGTTAGCTGATTTTTTAATTTTATTATCGCGCATACACTGAAAGAAATTACTCGATAAAAAATTAACAAACGGATATTTCAAATCAAAATACCGATAAATTTTTATATCCAATCAGGATATCCGGTTAAATTTAATCAAATACTTCCGATCATAATAATCGTTTTATCAAATAAACCGATCAAAAAATTATGAATCGATACAACATCGGATACAAAAATTCAACGGTATTGTGATCAGAAATATCAGTTTGTTAATTTCTTATCGAATAATTTCTCTCAGTATAATGTGATAACAGCTCGTACTTTAAAATCGTCTATTAAATACCAACACATGATTGCATTTATTAACTTCGCCTTGTCTTCTGTATTCATGCGTGATGCTTCTGTCGCGCACGCGTTGTTCACGTGCTACCTTTGGACTGTAAATAGCTGCGTGTGGAGATGTTAGAAAATTCTACCAAGACACCAAGATTCTGAGACAGAGAATTTTCTTTTATCGATGAAAGTATATCTGTAAATGTGTTTACAAATCTGTGTTTACAAATGTGTTTACAAATCAGGGAACACTTGTCAACTATAAGTTACATTTGTAAGGACACTTTTATCGAGAAGAGAAAGCCAGATAAAGGGAACTGAGATCCTTAATCCTCCTCATTCTGAACTTACCTCACGAATGTATTTTGTATTGGACAAAAATTTGAACATAAAAGCACGATTTGCTTTTTATTAGACTTTTTATATATTTTCATATATATATATATTTTTATTACATTTTTTCTTCTAATGCACCATCAAGAGACTGACCAAAATGTCGACAATTGACGATTAAGTTAATCAAAGTCACTTAGTAAAAGTCACAGTAAAAGTTACTCTAAATTAATAAATATTATTAGCATTCATAATCCGTATTATTTTATTGATAAAGACTTTCATCTATATATATTTCAATTTTATCTCATAGAAATAAGCTTCATATCCAACAGATAAATTTTCAAGTATTTCTTTTTTCAATGTAAGATCTAACGTACATTTTTATTTTCTTTAGGATCATCTTACATAAGAATATAATCAAAGAACATAAGAATACATAATCAAAGGGTGTCAACTTACACAGTGAAATATAAAAAAAAACTGCTTGTTAAATAAAAATCGTATACTAACAACTGCGGTGAAGCTTTTATTAGTCTTTCTCTTTTCGAATTTTTCCACAAAAAGACCGCACTTTACTATCTTTATTTTATCGATTAATTTAGTAAATGTTTGTTCGACAACTTGACGTTAGTCGCACCGTAATTGCAAAGCGACGAGATGTGGATAAGTGGAGAGAGAGGGAAAAAATCACACACCAATTAAATGATACAATGTTTTATTCATATAATAAGGTAATTCAAAATATAAATCAAGGAACTGTCGGACCCTTTTCCTAAAAAAAAAAAAACGAAAAACAAAAGAAAAGAAACATTATCGGCGGCTCTTCGGCCCGCTTCTCGCGCTCTCGCTGACTCTCTCAGACATGTGCAGAAAACCTATGGCGCAAATGACGTGCACGCGCACGTCATCGAGTTATATTACAATCGTACAATTTGACTAACGCTTCAACTAAAGAAGATCGTCGCATACAATGTCGGAATTTCGGGAGAATCGTCCGGCCGCCGACGAACTCGTCGGCGATCTTTCACGTCGCGACGATACAAAGGTAGTCGATATCAACGACTCGCCGTGGGCAGGACGAGTCTCCGTTTATCGCGTAATTTCGTTTAAGTACAACACAACTGCGCTCCCCATCCGTTCACATCATTTTCTGCGACGAACGGGGAGATAGGAGGAACGGCAAAGGGGCAGTTGGGGGAAAGAATATTTTCGATGTACGCGAAACAAGCGCTCGTCGCGGTCCCTATGCATCGGTCCTAACTAATCGTACAAAATAAGGTGTAGGGTTGGCTGTTTTATAACACATATATATATATATATATATATATATATATATATATATATATATATATATATATATATATATGCAAATATAGTAAATACAGAGGTATAAATATTACTTCTAGATAGCACTATATTTTATATATAACTTCTAGTATAAATATTAGTTCTTCATTTAATCTGTCATAATATACTATATATTCTTATCGCGTTTTTGTGTGTAAGGGTACCTGACTCTCACCGGATTCGCTCCGTTACGGCTGTGTGTGTCTGTGTGTGCGCGCGCGCGTGTGTATGTGTGAGTGTGTGTTGGGTGCTGGTACGTCTGTACAGTATTGAGTGTAGCGTTGTACAAGAGGGATGAGGAAGGAAGAGAAGGGGAGGGTGTTGTTTCTTTAGGCTGTGCCGCCGCAGCGAACCGACGACGGTCCCGTTCGGTTGCAAGAGGATGTGACTTATAGGAAAACCGGA